AATGTAAACATTGGGTCTAGGTGGGTCAATGTAAACATGGGTCTGGGTGGGTCAAGGTAAACATGGGTCTGGGTGGGTCAACATTGGGGCTAGGTGGGTCAATGTAAACATGGGTCTGGGTGGGTCAATGTAAACATGGGTCTGGGCGGGTCAACATTGGGGCTAGGTGAGTCAATGTAAACAATGGGTCTAGGTGGGTCAATGTAAACATTGGGGCTAGGTGGGTCAATGTAAACATTGGGTCTAGGTGGGTCAATGTAAACATGGGTCTGGGTGGGTCAAGGTAAACATGGGTCTGGGTGGGTCAACATTGGGGCTAGGTGGGTCAATGTAAACATGGGTCTGGGTGGGTCAATGTAAACATGGGTCTGGGCGGGTCAACATTGGGGCTAGGTGAGTCAAGGTAAACATGGGTCTGGGTGGGTCAATGTAAACATGGGGTCTAGGTGGGTCAAAGTAAACATTGGGTCTAGGTGGGTCAGGTAAACATTGGGGCTAGGTGGGTCAAGGTAAATAGGGCTAGGTGGGTCAATGTAAACATCCGGGCTAAGTGGGTCAATGTAAACATGGGGTCTAGGTGGGTCAATGTAAACATGGGGTCTAGGTGGGTCAAAGTAAACATTGGGTCTAGGTGGGTCAGGTAAACATTGGGGCTAGGTGGGTCAAGGTAAATAGGGCTAGGTGGGTCAAGGTAAACATTGGGGCTAGGTGGGTCAACATTGGGGCTAGGTGGGTCAAGGTAAATAGGGCTAGGTGGGTCAAGGTAAATAGGGCTAGCTGGGTCAAGGTAAACATTGGGGTTAGGTGGGTCAATGTAAACATTGGGTCTAGGTGGGTCAACATTGGGGCTAGGTGGGTCAAGGTAAACATTGGGGCTAGGTGGGTCAACATTGGGGCTAGGTGGGTCAAGGTAAATAGGGCTAGGTGGGTCAAGGTAAATAGGGCTAGCTGGGTCAAGGTAAACATTGGGGTTAGGTGGGTCAATGTAAACATTGGGTCTAGGTGGGTCAATGTAAACATTGGGTCTAGGTGGGTCAATGTAAACATTGGGTCTAGGTGGGTCAATGTAAACATGGGGTCTAGGTGGGTCAATGTAAACATGGGGTCTAGGTGGGTCAAAGTAAACATTGGGTCTAGGTGGGTCAGGTAAACATTGGGGCTAGGTGGGTCAAGGTAAATAGGGCTAGGTGGGTCAAGGTAAACATTGGGGCTAGGTGGGTCAACATTGGGGCTAGGTGGGTCAAGGTAAATAGGGCTAGGTGGGTCAAGGTAAATAGGGCTAGCTGGGTCAAGGTAAACATTGGGGTTAGGTGGGTCAATGTAAACATTGGGTCTAGGTGGGTCAACATTGGGGCTAGGTGGGTCAAGGTAAACATTGGGGCTAGGTGGGTCAACATTGGGGCTAGGTGGGTCAAGGTAAATAGGGCTAGGTGGGTCAAGGTAAATAGGGCTAGCTGGGTCAAGGTAAACATTGGGGTTAGGTGGGTCAATGTAAACATTGGGTCTAGGTGGGTCAATGTAAACATTGGGTCTAGGTGGGTCAATGTAAACATTGGGTCTAGGTGGGTCAATGTAAACATGGGGTCTAGGTGGGTCAATGTAAACATGGGGTCTAGGTGGGTCAAAGTAAACATTGGGTCTAGGTGGGTCAGGTAAACATTGGGGCTAGGTGGGTCAAGGTAAATAGGGCTAGGTGGGTCAAGGTAAACATTGGGGCTAGGTGGGTCAACATTGGGGCTAGGTGGGTCAAGGTAAATAGGGCTAGGTGGGTCAAGGTAAATAGGGCTAGCTGGGTCAAGGTAAACATTGGGGTTAGGTGGGTCAAGGTAAATAGGGCTAGGTGGGTCAAGGTAAATAGGGCTAGCTGGGTCAAGGTAAACATTGGGGTTAGGTGGGTCAAGGTAAAGATGGGTCTAGGTGGGTCTAGGTGGGTCAAGGTAAATAGGGCTAGGTGGGTCAAGGTAAACATTGGGGTTATGTGGGTCAAGGTAAATAGGGCTAGGTGGGTCAAGGTAAACATTGGGGTTATGTGGGTCAAGGTAAACATTGGGGTTATGTGGGTCAAGGTAAATAGGGCTAGGTGGGTCAAGGTAAACATTGGGGCTAGGTGGGCAAGGTAAACATTGGGGATAGGTGGGTCAACATTGGGGCTAGGTGGGTCAACATTGGGGCTAGGTGGGTCAAGGTAAACATTGGGGCTAGGTGGGTCAACATTGGGGCTAGGTGGGTCAACATTGGGGCTAGGTGGGTCAACATTGGGGCTAGGTGGGTCAAGGTAAACATTGGGGCTAGGTGGGCAAGGTAAATAGGGCTAGGTGGGTCAAGGTAAATAGGGCTAGGTGGGTCAAGGTAAACATTGGGGCTAGGTGGGTCAAGGTAAATAGGGCTAGGTGGGTCAAGGTAAACAGGGCTAGCTGGGTCAAGGTAAACATTGGGGTTAGGTGGGTCAAGGTAAAGATGGGTCTAGGTGGGTCAAGGTAAATAGGGCTAGGTGGGTCAAGGTAAACATTGGGGTTATGTGGGTCAAGGTAAATAGGGCTAGGTGGGTCAAGGTAAACATTGGGGCTAGGTGGGCAAGGTAAACATTGGGGATAGGTGGGCAAGGTGAACATTGGGGATAGGTGGGCAAGGTGAACATTGGGGCTAGATGGGCAAGGTAAACATTGGGGATAGGTGGGCAAGGTGAACATTGGGGCTAGGTGGGTCAACATTGGGGCCAAGTGGGTCAAGGTAAACATTGGGGCTAGGTGGGTCAAGGTAAACATTGGGGCTAGGTGGGTCAAGGTAAACATTGGGGCTAGGTGGGTCAACATTGGGGCTAGGTGGGTCAACATTGGGGCTAGGTGGGTCAACATTGGGGCTAGGTGGGTCAATGTAAATAGGGCTAGGTGGGTCAAGGTAAACATTGGGGCTAGGTGGGTCAAGGTAAATAGGGCTAGGTGGGTCAAGGTAAACAGGGCTAGCTGGGTCAAGGTAAACATTGGGGTTATGTGGGTCAAGGTAAATAGGGCTAGGTGGGTCAAGGTAAACATTGGGGCTAGGTGGGCAAGGTAAACATTGGGGCTAGGTGGGCAAGGTAAACATTGGGGCTAGGTGGGTCAACATTGGGGCTAGGTGGGCAAGGTAAACATTGGGGCTAGGTGGGCAAGGTAAACATTGGGTCTGGGTGGGTCAATGTAAACATGGGTCTGGGTGGGTCAATGTAAACACTGGGTCTAGGTGGGTCAACATTGGGTCTGGGTGGGTCAACATTGGGTCTAGGTGGGTCAATGTAAACATTGAGACTAAGTGGGTCAATGTAAACATTTGGCTAAGTGGGTCAATGTAAACATTGGGGTGAAGTGAGTCAATTTTAGCCCCACAGCTTATATGTTCAATGCTCATTTTTCTATGAGTAAACAAAGACAGAAGGAGAATATATTGGTTTATTCTATCTCCATAAATGTACATAAAATGTCTAACAAAAGTTAGGCTCTTTTTTTCAAAGATAATGTAAAATATTTTAGAACATATATCAAGGGACTGTCAATAAAAAAATATTTCAGAACATTTGGGAATGTTAGTGGAAAATTATCTTAAAAAGATGCTGATGGAATGTCAATCTACAAAAAATTTCATTCAAATGACATAAGAATATCAATATAAAAATTGTACATGTCATAGGTAGGTCAATGTAAAATATGTAAGATGTCTCTGTTATGTCATGTAAACTTTGTAAATGTCATGGGGATGTCAATGTAAATCTTGTCATGTCTTGGGAATGTCAATGTAAAAATTTTACATGTTATAAGAATGTCAATGTAAAATTTTTACATGCTATAAGAAAGTCAATGAGTGAGAAAAAAAGATTTTAAAAAATATCTCCATGCACTGCATAGTTAGGATTGGTCATCACATTTCTCTACTAGGCCTTCAACCAAATGTGCTAGTATTTACAAACAAAAAAATATATAATTGCTGCTGTATATAGTATATACACAAAAGATCACCAATACATAAGCAAAGATAATATGTAAAGTATCAGAGTCTTTACAAGGTAAATGAAGCAGATAGACAATAAGATGAATGAATGAGATAATCAATAAGATGAATGAACAAGATAGACAATTTAAAAAAAACATAAATTAATAAGAAAGACAATAAGATAAATTAATAAGATAGACAATAAGATAAAAAAAAACTAGATAGACAATAAGATAAATGAACCAGAAAGACAATAAGACGAATGAACGAGATAGACAATACGATAAATTAATAAGATAGACAAAGAGATAAATGAACAAGATAGAGAACAAGAAAAAAAAAATGAACAAATGTTTGTGCCAGTGTATGTGAGATGTATCAGGCACCTTCATCAAAATCATGGTGAGATATTGCTTGACTGAGGGAACCACTGGCTAGGTATAAAGTTTATGTGAGATAATGCTGAGATTTGAAGATATGTGCACTGAGATTTTCTTTGGTGAAAATAAACTAGTACTTTAGTAAAAGTTTGCATGAATTTTTCTTGGTGAAAATGAATTAGGTTACTTTAGTAGTTTTCCATGAACTTATTTGTAGTCACATATCTCAGTTCATGTTCAAAATGGCTAAATTAGTATCTAACACATGGACTACAGTTTGATGGCCTAGATCTAAAATCGCCAAATTAGCATCTAACACATAGCTACAGCTTGATGGCCTAGATCTAAAATGGCCAAATTAACATCTACATGGCTACAATTTGATGGTCTAGATCTAAAATGGCCAAACTAGTATCCATGATATAAGTCTTAAAGTAAAGAGGTAATATTTAGGGCCAACACTAAATGGAAACCTGCACTATATATAAACAGAGTTTCTTCCAGGCATCTCCCCCCCCCCTCCCCCGAAAAAAAATTTACCCCCCCCCCCCCCCGAACGAAATTTATATAGAAAATATATACTTTTAACAGTGTCCGCCCTCCCCCGAAGAAAGTCTACCGCCCCCCCCCCCCCCCCTAAGAAAAAAGTCTGGAAGAAACACTGTATATAAATCCAGGAGGGTGGGTTTATTAAAATGTCTCAATTTAACTAAATCTCTACACTACTGTGTAAGGTTACAGCTTGGTGATAGAGAAGAATATATATATTATATACCCTGCTGTGAATGCTACCCTCTGGCTTATATAGTGTAAAACAATTAATTCAGTTACCCAAAAAAAAGGTCTAAAGATGTCACCCTATCATTGTATTTGTATCTAGGGGTTAAACTATGTTTAAACTAACCAAGGGGAGGTAACTCCCATAATTTTTACAAAGACATCTTTAAACCACTAAAAACTAAAGTTATTTATAACAACATTAAACATGACATTCATTCAGTTGAAGATCATCACATTTAGTTTTAAAAAACCTATGGCTACACATTGTAGCAAGATAATTTAAATTTATTTTGACTACATGATTGAAACTATTAAACCAATCATTCTTAAAAATAAATACTTTTTAAGTCAGTCCTTATTGAATTGCAGTACAGTTCCTTGTTAATAGAAATATAGTCAAATACTTTTTTCAAAATTAAGTAAATAATGCATAGCAAGTCAGGCAACATGGATATTGCATAATGGTGTTCATTGCATGGATTGGCTAAACAAGCACAAGGTATTGTAAATTGTTGAACATCTACTTGGGACCTACAATATTACTGTACTGTATGGCTATCTGTAACCCATGGCAACCTACAAATGACATTTACACTAAATGACACCCAGGGTTGAAAGACATTTACACTAAATGAAATCCAGGGTTAAATGACACTCTGGACTGAATGACATCCTGGTACTAAATGACACCCAGGTGTGAAATGACACCTTTTGCTAAATGACACTCTGGGCTAAATGACACCCAGGGTTAAATGATAGTCTGGACTAAATGACACCTTTCGCTAAATGACACCCTGGGCTAAATGACAACTTGTGCGAAATGACACTGTGCTAAGTGACACTTTGTGCTCAAAGACACCCTGGGTTATGTGACACCTTATGATAAATGACACCCTGGGCTAAATGACACCCTGGGCTAAATGACACACAGGGTTAAATGACTCCTTGTCCTAAATGACACCCTGGGCTATATAACACCTTGTCCTAAATGACTAGACTTCTACTGGCTCCGTGGCATCCCTGAGGTCAAATGGGAATACGTCCAGGTCACCACCACTAAAATCAGAGTCATCATCTCTGGGGAAATAAGAACAAAAAATCAGAGTCATCATCTCTGGGGAAATAACAAAAAATCAGAGTCATCATCTCTGGGGAAATAAGAACAAAAAATCAGTCATCATCTCTGGGGAAAACAAAAACAAAAAATCAGAGTCATCATCTCTGGGGAAATAAGAACAAAAAATCAGTCATCATCTCTGGGGAAATTAGAAAAATCAGAGTCATCATCTCTGGGGAAAACAAGAACAAAAAATCAGAGTCATCATCTCTGGGGAAATAACATAACAAAACCAGCTCAGGGTTGAAAGAAATCACTAGCATGTATTTAAAAATGGGACAGTGTGGTTGGACAGCAGAGCACTCAACTGTTTACCCAAAAGCCTCTAGTTTTGATCACGTGCCCAGGTTATAGAAACAGGCGAACTCAACTTCATTGACCCAATGGTCCACCAGTTTCAAAAGGGTAACTTTAGTTCATACATTTAAATATTTCCATGCTTGCATACGTATTAAAAAATTTTAAAAATGTGTGACCACTAGCTAAATATTGTTAGTGACACACCTTATTAAAAAAAAATTTTTTTACACCAGAACAGTCTGAAAGTTGTACAAGTTAAAGAAAGACTCACCCATCCTCCGATTGGTCACTACAAGACTCAGATGGAGGCTGGTCGCCGAGGAATGTGGACATGACAATGCTGCGGTCGCTGTAGTTACTTCCTGGTGCATAGACTTCAGAGTCTGTCCGAGGCATCGGGTTGGGGTCATAATAGTGACCATTGGCAAAGTAGCCAATATTTGGGACGGCGTATTTTGATAGCGAGTTGGATTTCTTGATTGCATTGGGGTTGGTGATGATGTTCTTTTTGATGGAAGGATAACTAACGACCGAGTTGTCTTGTTGCAAGGAGCTGGGCTTCGGGGGGATGGGAGGTTTCTTGGAGGTTTTCACAGGGTATGTGGACTCAGCTTCTCTAAACCTGTTTACATTCTCTAAAGTTGGATTGGATATTTGTGGGCTGTGCACATGCTTTAATGTTGGGTTGGATATTTGTGGGCTGTTGTGTAAAGCTGGACTGGATATTTGTGGGCTGTTCTGTAAAGCTGGACTGGATATTTGTGGAGATGTCATGTCAGTGAAATCGTAGCCGCTCCGAACACCTTGCGTGGACTTGTTTGATTTCTGCCTGGACGAGCTGATCAAAAAGTTTTGTAAATCCTCCCTGCTGAGGACAGAACTTGTCCTGTGGGTCACCTCGTGCTTGGGTTGGTATGTCGTTATGGGGTAGTCGTCAGGCTCCCGTGTTACGACCTCAGGGTCCGGGTGACTCGGGTAAGTCAGCGTATCACAGTGGTCAGACTCGAGAGCTCTGATCAATGCAGCGTTGGTTACCGATGACGCGCGGTTGATGGTGGCGTACCCCGACTTCCTGCCCAGGCTGTAGTAGGTTTGTTTATCTTTTGTGCGTGAGGTGGGGAGCGTGGTGTAGTGGGCGTCGACTGATGTGCCGGGGAGGCTGGCATCTGGGATTGTGTAGATGGGCGTGTCAGTGTCCAGGACTAGGTCGACAGAGGGCAGGTAGTCCCCACACAGTTCAGGGTTGAATGCAGACTGAAAAATAGGTAGCTATGTTTTAAAGGCTATAGGTAGTCATGTTTAAGGATATAGGTAGTCAAAGGCTATAGGTAGTCATGTTTAAGACTATAGGTAGTCAAAGGCTATAGGTAGTCATGTTTAAGACTATAGGTAGTCAAAGGCTATAGGTAGTCATGTTTAAGGCTATAGGTAGCCATGTTTTAAAGGCTATAGGTAGTAATGTTTAAGGCTATAGGTAGTTGTGTTTAAGGCTATAGGTAGTTGTGTTTAAGACTATAGGTAGTCCTGTTTAGGGCTACAAGTATTCAAGACAATTGTAAAATAGGAAATGTATAAACAGTGCAAATTAGTCTGTTTTCTAAATCAAAATTTGCAAGAAGAATTTAAAAATAAGAGCTTAATTATATACAGATTAGTTAAACACTAAGTCATGTTAATTTTAGTCCTGTTCTATGGATAAAACAGTTCGATGAATGTTCATTTAAAACAATTTATAAGATGAAATAAGATACGTTTTTCATTACAATTCAGTCACACTGGGAAAAATGACACTAAGACTTTGATTAAAATCTTTAAAATGAGCATAACACAGTTGTGCTGCACTTACCTCCTGTTCTCTGTTGTCCTCCAGCATCTGATGGGCCCACTGGACCAGGGCCATGGCGTCAGACGGGATACTGACCACTGGGTCCTTCTTGTGTAACAGCGCCAACACTCTACACAGCTGGTGGATCACACCCCTGGGTCAGGTCAAGCAAAAATTAGGTCAACTTACAACTACCACTTACTTGTAAAGTACAACATTTACTCTCCAATTAAATATAACAACCACATAAAAATACAACCCACAACTACAGATTAATATAAAATATAGGAAACTTATATTTATTTTTTTATCACAAGAATATATCTAAACAACAAATAATTGCCACTGACATATAGAAGAAAGAAAGCATACAAAAAGTTAATTGATAGTATACTACAACAAAAGGTCTATAATTGTTGTATATAAACCTATACCAGGGGTCTGCAACCTGCGGCTCGCGAGCCGCATGCGGCTCTTTTGATATCAAGATGCGGCTCTCCAGCTCCTTGAACAAATACTAATAATCTTAATAAAAAAAATCAAAATATTTGAAATAAAACAAATGTTAGTGGCTCTTTAAAAACAGGGAAATTTTGAAAATTGTAACTTTTGGCTCTTCTGCTTCAAAAGGTTGCCGACCCCTGACCTATACATATACTAATATGCTAGAGTATAATTATAATCACAGAACATTACAAAAGAATAAAACATGATACAGGGTACTGCAATTTTTAAATTTCTAATAATATAACTGGTTGAATTTTCCAGATACTTTGACCTTCTTTGACAAAGCTCATCCTATAATAGACAACTAGTTAAAGCAGAAAGTAGCCTACATGTAAATTAATCAGCCTATTTAAACAATAAAAGTCAATAATAAGCTTTCTTGTGTAGTGTGCAGATAACTAATGCATAAAATACATAGTTAAACCCATCTAATGACAAAAGTACCCGCTTTAGTAAAAGAGTTCTCACTTGTATGTTGGAACTCTTGTGTCTGTGGAGTCCATTGCCCTTGTTTTACCCCTGACCTGACTCAACATGGCCATCAGAGCGTCTGTGTGTGGCCGTAGTCTGTCCAGTTCACCTATGTACTCCAGCGGGTCAATTTTACCATATGTTGTTGTTTCGCTTTCTAACAAAGACATACAATCAAACATTCTGTTCATTAATAAATTACAACTTTAAATATTACATTTTCCTATATTTAGAGTTTAAGGGACTGCTTGGTTGAATGGTGGAGTGTTTGGATGCAAGCCAGAATGTATCAAGTTCAGATCTCAGTTTGGACTTGTGACTGTAGGACCACCCAGCTCTAATGGGTGCCTGAATTAAGCTGGAGAGGGTAAAGGAGTCTGGTTATAATGCTGGCCACAGAATCACTTCATATGTCAAAGTCAAGAAATATATAAACTCTACTTCATCTGCCCATTGGATCACTAGGTTTCAGAGGAAATTTAATATTTAGCATGTGGAAATTAAGTAACTTAAATATTAAAACATCATTTTTAAAATAAATTTTTGTTTTACCAATAAATGTTAAGTCAGCAACTCAAAACATCTAAAAACTAAAATGAGGGAAATCAAGAAAAAATTAATTAGTAGATTAAGCCCTAAATGAAACTTACAAAACAAGTAGTAAAATTAACCTCATTATCCTAGTCAACCAAGGTGTTGTCCATAAATGACGTCACACAAATTTTAGTCAGTTTTCTACACCCCCCCCCCTCTACTGTCATACATAACAATACTCCTTAAAAAGATCTCACCAAACAATACACCCCCTTCCCCATTCTTCCACAGATGCCATAGAAAGAATACAGGCCTGTGTTTTATATAAAAATATACACTATAACCAGTGCCCCCCCCCCCCCCCAAAAAAAAAAACTTTCTGAAACAACCTCTGGATAAAAAATTTAAAAACTTAGAGGCAACTTAAACCAACCCCTACCTCATGTAACATTATAAAATTAAGTAAGAAACTACCTCCCTACTCTTTTCTTTAACATTGTGTATTATGTAGGCCAACATTATCCCTAATACATATCCACATTAGAAATTCAATCCAGATATTTTTTGTTTCAATAATTATTTTTTTCTAAAATCCATTATTTTTAACTTCTAAGCCTCCAATTAGCATGCCCCCCCCCCCCCACTCCACCATGTAAACTTAGACACATTCTTAAATTTCACAATGACAATAAAAAATGTCGTGTAGCCGTTAAGTTTCAAGTGCCCTAATATCAGTCATGCGGAACAACACAAAAGGAATGTTCACTTATATACACATATACATACACTCAAGTGTGTAAAATCGCTCAGGTATGAAGAAAAAAAACTAGTGTGCAGGGTTCAGATAAAGATCAAATGTTTCAAAGTTGATAACACATCTGGTGTTATTTATAAAAATATGACATTGTTAGTTTAAAAGGCTGCAGGGAACTACCTGCCTCTCCCCTCTCCACTATAGGTTAATGAGAACATAAGTTACATTTTCCCTACAGATGATGGGAGAAGTTGATGTGTGTTTAGCTGGCTCAGTAGACAAAAATCAAATTATACAATTAAAATTAGATTTTTTTTCTAACATACATACCAAATGCTGAATTCTCATAAGTAGGAAACTGCATAAAAAATGTAAAGCAGATTAAAGTATAATAAGTTTAGAAATTTAAAAGTTTAGTGCAAGAAATTGATTCTGACTAACATCTAGATATAAACATAAATAGCAATGGGCCTATATAATTTAATTATAAAAAAGCCTATAGAGCCAAAATTGTGGTAGAATTTATTTTAATTTTTTAGCAGAAGATTATGTTAATGTCAAACAAAGGAGTATTTATTTCTAAATCTTGTTGTTAGGCAAGATGAAAATATTTTTACATCATTGTGATATTGATTTTAAAAAAGGAAATCACAGCCATCTGCAGTAAATCAATCAATATCAACCAAATAACTCTTATTACAGATATACAAAATTACTCAAAGTTTATAAATTATGAATTAAACAGCAGATAAGGGTTTAAAATAGTACCTGCTTGATATGACCATTATCCATTTGTCTGACTGTGTAGCTCTTCTTCAACAAGTTTATGTTTTTTCTGGGGGGGAAATTTAGTTAAAATATTAAATGTAAACATCTGGTTTTATCTTTTATTTTATTAGTTTAAGTTGGAGCTTCTTCTATGCTACAGGTTATTAATGGTATCATGTGATTACTGTTCTTTCACAAATCTAGTTAGGGCAATATTATGATGTAATTTTTTCTCAGTCCAGTATTATAATTGGGTCAGGTTAAAGTTCAGAAAAATTGGATCAGTGTTTTGGCTTTTTTGGGGTAAAGGTTAGAATTAGGGCTATGGTTTAGGTAGAGATGCACTTAACTCCTGCCAAAAAATAACCATAAATAATTGGTACTAAGCTTATTTTTCTTCCATGGGGCAAGTGAAGTAGAGTTCACCTGTTACTTTGTCCATGACATATGAAGGGATAGCGTGGACAGCCCTATGCCCACCCACCTTCACTTCCCCTAAAGTGAGTTAGATACCTATCAGAGCTGATTGAACTCAGGGATGTTCTACTGACTTGAACCTGGATTTTAACTCCAGAATTTCAAGTTAGCAGTCAAGCGCTCTACCATTTAGGCCATACTGTCCCCTAACCCACTTTTCCAGGAAAATAAAAAAATAAAACTGAGTTGCTGATACATTTTTTTTTCATCTAGTAAAAGAAGGATATTTAATTACCTGACCCCAGAGAACAGACAATCAAAACTATTTTTGTCATTTCTGAATGTAACAAAGTGCCTACCTTGACCTGCGTACACAAACACATGCGATGATGATGACAACAATACAGATGATGACTCCAGCACCTACACCGGCTACCACAGCAATGACTAGATTCACTTTGGTGCCATCATCACTCTTCTCTGTCAAAATATTAAATATGTCAGTTTGAGATAATAAAATACAAAAAAAGAGAAATCTTTCCAATGGCCAAGATACTAAATTATCAATGAAAACAAAGAAACAAAAACATGAAAATAATGGGAAAAAGTTGAAAAGAAATGGAAAAAATAGCAAAGGACAGAAAAGTAGAGCTGATGTTCCACAGGGAGATGGAAAAGGCAAAAGAAAGAAAATTAGAAAACTATTGTATTAATTAATGGTCAATAGTAATTAAAATATTTTTCAGTTCATTTTTCTGTTTAACAATAATACAAAAGTGGAAAAAGATAAATGGTACAATTCTAAAGGCAAAGACAACAAACTATCACTTTATGTTTTTTTGTTTGGTAATTTAAAAATATTTTTAAAAAAAAACAACAACAGTCAACAGAAAGTAGAACACTAACAAAATGCAATTAAATTTGACCATGCTAATGACCTGAACAAATTAAATTATCCTCCAGCATCTGCGAAGACCCAACACACACCTTCAGGCACAGCCCACTGGTCGCGGACAGGAAGTTGGCGCATCTGACAAATTATTCACACACATTTCAACATCTAATCATTGACAAACATGTAAACATAGTAGAAAAAAAATTATTTATTTAACCCAAAGTGTTACCAAAGTCTTTGAAGGATGAGAAAAGACTACTGTATTAGTTATCAGTTTTATGTAAGACAAGTTGGTTATATAGTTTATATCTCTTTTAAAAAAAATGTAAGTTTATATAAAGAAAATATTAAATATTTACAACTGATGCCGCCCCCCCCACCCCCCACCCCACCTATTTGGCTGATAGTAATTTTTTAAAATATTTTCATCAACTTACTTTTTACAAGTGTTTGGCTGTAGGCACTGTAGGCATTCAACGTCAGTACAGGAAGCTAAAATAAGGGAGATGATTAGAAAAATGAATACACATTGCAATCTAGAAAACATTTGTGTAATAGATATGATGAAACATTATACCAGCATGACAGTGATAGCTGAAAGTTATCTTCTCCTGTTTAGCCAGGAGCAAATAAAGAATTCTTCTCTGAGGCTTGGGCTTAATTATGTAATTATTATTCTCAATTATGTGAACAAGGAAAAATGTTTCTGTGCAACTCTCTTTATGTTTTGAATAGATCATTTATCACCTGTATATGAATACTTTGTATACAAAGTATGTGATATTGCTTTTGTAAGTAGGTTTGAACTAAGATGAGGGTTAGGTTGGAATTATGTAACTATGAACAGCTTTACTGATTCTAAGTAAACTAACAAACATAATTAGCCTTTCTTATGTTTTTGGCCATGCAGATGTAAGTTTCCTAGAAATAAAAACATGTAGAGTTATAAATGTGTAAAGCAGGGCCTACCATTACGACAGTTTTTGCCATCTGTATGAAGAACAAAGCCAGACAAGCACACACAAGTAGAGTTGGCACATGTTGATGACCACCCACATTCTGTGCTACAGGTATCTATAAATAAAGGGAAAGCCAAAAATTGGTATGAAACTGTAGGCCTATTAGACTATGCATTATTTAGCAAAACAAGCTAGTGTGAGTTTTTTTTTTAAAAAAACTGGCTTAAAACATGAACATTTAAAAATTTAAACCAGACACCATTAAACTGAGATTATTGGTAATTAAAATTTAACATCTGCACATCATTTTTGAGTTGTTTTTTCTGCTACATTTAGGCCTAATTTTCAATTTTTTTTCAAAAAGAAAATGACAGCTAGTTTTATTTTATTTTGTTAATATTTGAATAAATAACAATAAGCCTATACTGTTCATATTTAGAATAGAAGGAAAAAGACAATAAACCCCATTACAGAACTGGCATTACCTGTTTGGCCATGACCTTCTGACATCAACAGACATATCATTACCAGGAGAAGTGAAATACTTCTCAAATAGTCTGCCTTGGCTTTCATTGTCACCCTAGCCAAATTTGTCAAGCATCTTCCTTATCTGAAAAAGAAAAATTGCTCTTTTTACAAGCTTTTATTTAACTCACTTCCTCTGTCGACAGTCTGTCGTCAGTCTAGACGGAAACGCAGGAGTGAAAATTCGGAAACTTCTACTTGACCGATACGATTCACATTTGGCACGTGGGTCAAGACATGAAGACAATGCAATCTGAAACTAAATTTGACTTAATTGGATGCCTAATTGATTTTTAATGAATTAATTAAAATTTGGATCGAATTAGTAGGCATATCTAGCCAACCACACCACACGCGTCATCACCTTCAATAGCTGCGCCATCACGTAATGGCTGCGTTCAAAAACCATTGCGCGCCTACTGAACGTGAGGTTCAGTAGGCGCGCAATGGTTTTTAGTCATATAACTCTATTGTAAATAAAACATGTAAAGTACTGAAAAAAAATTCATAAAAAACGTTTTAATAACAAGCTTTTATGTAATAATGCACTAAAAAGTAGAAAATAAATTATAGACTACTATTTAAATAACTATAAAGAAAAGCGTGGGTGTCTTCCTTAACATTAGTAAAGGTATCCAATAGATACTAAAGTGACCCACGCTTTTCTTTATAGTTATTTAAATAGTAGTCTATAATTTATTTTCTACTTTTTAGTGCATTATTACATAAAAGCTTGTTATTAAAACGTTTTTTATGAATTTTTTTTTAGAAAAATCAAATGGGGTCATCCTTTTTAAAAATGAATTCTACTTTTACCTAAACCTACCCTCTCACATTATCACAAAAGTCAAACACCCACCCACACCCTTTTGAGGCTTAAAATGATAGGTCACTTCAGCCTTACCTCCCCCCCCCCCCCCCCCCCCCCAAAAAAAAAAAATTACCAGTAACTAGATCTACACACTAGCTATTCAAATGATAAATATTAAATAAAATTAAATATTCTATCAACTTAATAGAACTAAGCCTTGCAAGTTACATTTAATTTATTCTTAAATTAAAAATTAAAAACTTGATTAAAGAGCAAGCTAGAAAGAGTTACTTAGTAATAATACTTAGAGTTAACTCTCAGTTAACTTAGAGACTTAGACTAGAGTAGTTAGAGTTAGTAGGCCTAGACTAATTAATTAAATCTTAGAATCTAGATTATTTTAAGATTAGGTTTCCCACCAATTGAATGTTAAAATAACCTACTAGATTCTAGTTAAAGATAAGATATTTAATTAGGTAAATTAGGCCCATACTTTGTTTGAAGAGGGTAAATCAAATCATGTTTGATGAATAAACATTGAAAATATAAACACAAGTTTTAAACTGCTGATAGCGATAGGCATCCAGCTCAACACTTCGGCCAATGGGTTCGGAGATCTATTAATAAACTCATGTGACACAGGTGTTGACACCTTTACAATCCTCTCGTTAGGGCAGCCGAATCAATGTCACGTCTCTCAAACTAACGTTATATTCTCACGCCTAGCAAGCAAATTCGAACAGATTTTTAACCTTTTACACAGAAACACATTGCAAATAAAAACACAACAAGGCGTTGCTTCGTTACCAGTGGATGTCTAATAGAACTTGCATCGTACCGCTACAAAATATGTTACTAAAGCTTAGCTTTACATTTTGGCAATGAAATTACTAAATTAACAAAACAAATTACTTATCTTTATTTTTATTTTTTTTAGTAATTAACGAACCTAAGAAATAGACAACTATACTTATAGAGGTAAGCGAGATCTATTGCAGAATTAGCTGTAGCTAAAATATTTGTTTAAAAAGTAATTTGATATTTACCTGCTTTTAAAAAGTAGAAAGAAACCGATTAAAGAATGAATTACAAAATCCACAGGTTGAACATGTTGCCAAATTTGGTTCTTGTCTTAGCCCTTGTTTGCCCCGCCGCGAAAGTGTGTTCCGTGTAGTAGCAGACGACAGCCGAGGACAGGCGGCGTTATGCCCGGAATCTCCGCGAGACGCGAACAAACCTTGGTTTCGCATTGTTGATCGAATAAAAGGGAGGGGCAGGTCAGAAGCAGGTAGGAGACAACCCGAAAAAAAAGCCAACACAGCTATCTCTAGGCTATGTAAGATTGATCGGCCTCTAAAACCCAAGGCTAATCATTGAAGGCTGTTTTTAATGCCAAAATACATTACAGTGATTATAGACTGCTGTCTTTCAAAGGTAGTGTGCGTGTCAAAGGGGGTTAAGAGGGGTGCGTCACGAATAGCCTAATAGCCATCGAGCGAAGGCATCAACAGGTTTTTTTTGTGAGGGATTTATATAGGGGAATATGTAGAGAGGAGGGGAAGCAAACCTATACAGAAAACATGTAGATTTAGTCCTTAGTTACCGTGTCGGCGTGGTCGAGTCGGTAAAGCTCATGGTTGTTTAACCGAAAAGTCTCGAGTTCGAACCCTCAGGCAGATGAGGCTCGGTTAGCTGGGGACAGCCACTCTTCTAGGAGAGACAACTCCAAAATCAAACAACTGCTGCCTTGTAGTTTGTTCTTGGTTGGACAAAGGCTATTTCTTGGTTGGCAAATCCAAAAAGAAAAGCAGGCTGAAATCGGAGTCAATGGCCTCAATGGCGCATAGCCAGTTGACACGTAATCCTTAATTGTGATGGAAGCATGGTCGAGCTCATAATTGATAAATTCGAAAAAAAAATTTCAAACCCTCTGGTACATAGAGCTCGATCCCTCACAACACTAAAAATTAAGAACGAAGAAGAAAAAGTTACCGCTCCTTAGCGCTTTACAATGTCACGAGCCGACCCGCTGCGTATCATACGCCGCTATTTAGTTGTTTTTTTTTCTACTTTTCAGTAAGTCATAATTTGTGAATTCGACAGTACCAATGCTGCCACTGAAAATATTTGCTTAAAAACACTAACCCCCCCCCCCACGTGAAAGCAGCCTCCTCTTAGTTTAGTTACCTCCTCTAAGTTTAAAATCGTTTCAAACTAAATTATCTGCCCCTAATAGCCGTCACCAAACCCGTCTCTATGATTGTAAAATGTAAACAGCGTGACCACAGCTCACCAGACAATGTGGGGGTGGGGTGGGGGTGGTAGTGATAGTGATAGAGAGAAAGAGAGGGGACTGCAAGGAGGTGCTTGCAGCTTGTTTTCTAACGGCTCCCAGAAGAGAATTATATATATAGATTCACCTCAGTCCTTAGTTACCACTAACTTAGCGCTTTACAGTTTCATCCACCTCAGTCCTTAGTTACCACTAACTTAGGCGGCTGCCATGTCCACTAAGTGGTCTCAAAACCAACAGATTGTATGGTGTAAAAAGTACATTTCGTGGTCAAGCACGGTCAGTAACCCCGGTAGTTGAACTGTTGTGCTCCCTGTATGGTAAGTAAACCGGTTGATTTGAACTGACATGCTCCCTGTGCGGTCAGTTAACCGGCTGTTTAGAACTGACGTGTCTCTATGCGGTCAGTAAACCGGCTGTTTAGAACTAAGGGGTCATCCCTAAATAACGTCACGCTTTATTTGACGATTTTTACCTCCCCCTCCTCTCCGTCACACATCGTCACAAAAAGCTAGACCCCCCCCCCCCTAAAATGACGTCACACATCAGCCTACAACCCCCCTCAAGACTGCAGTTGAATTTTTTTTTTCAAAATCTTGTCTGAACTCTGTCAAAATAGAGTATTTTAATCTATTCCTATTACATTTTATTAAAACAGTTTTCTAAAACGCGAAATAACGTCTAAAAATAAAATAAGTTTTCTAACATTGTTTTTTTCTAATGCAAAAGTGTGAGGTCGCACCATCTGAACCCCCCCCCCCCCCTCCCCCCCCCCCCATCACACACCGTCACAAAATTAAGGACCCCACCTCCCCCCTACCAGTGTGACGTCGTTTATGGACGACCCCTAACGTGTCTCTATGCGGTCAGTAAACCGGCTGTTTGAACTGTGACGTTCCCTGTGCGGTCAGTTAACCGGCTGTTTGAACTGTGACGTTCCCTGTGCGGTCAGTTAACCGGCATTTTAAACTGTGACGTTCCCTGTGCGGTCAGTTAACAGGCTGTTTAGAACTGACGTGTCTCTATGCGGTCAGTAAACTGGCTCTTTATAACTGTTACGTTCCCTGTGCGGTCAGTTAACCGGCTGTTAGATCTGTGACGTGTCCCTGTGCGGTCAGTTAACCGGCTGTTTGAACTGTGACGTTTTCTGTGCTGTCAGTTAACCGGCTGTTTAAACTGTGACGTTCCCTGTGCGGTCAGTTAATCGGCTGTTTGAACTGTGACGTTCCCTGTGCGGTCAGTTAACAGGCTGTTTGAACTGACGTGTTCGGTGTGCGGTCAGTAAACACAACACGAGTGTTTCTTTCAGGCATCTCTGAAAAAATATAGAATTTATATAAGAAATTGATATTTTTGGGGGACGGACTAAATTTTCCGGGGGGGGGGGGGGGGGGGGGGGCACTAGTAAAAGTATCTATTGTCTAAATTTCATTTCATGGGGGTGGTACACTTTCTTCGAGGAAGAGATGCCTGAAAGAAACTTTCTATGGAAGACAGGCGTAGCCTAATATTGCCAAAAACAAAAATATGCTCTGACTTAACGCGAAGTTACAAAATTGCGATCACCCTTAGATCTCGAACTATGAATCATTTCTGAAGTGGTGTTATTGGCGAATACAATATCAAAGGGTCTCTTAAAGCTCTGGGCGGTACTGATGTTCTCATTCAAGAATGTTGGTCTAGCTTTTCCTCGTGCCTTATACTTACAGACTGACGACAGACAGAGGAAACTAGTAAATAAAAGCTTGTAAAAACCAAGGGGTCGTCCATAAATGACGTCACACTCGTAGGAGGGGAGGGGGTCCGTAATTTTGTTACGGTGTGTGATGAGGGGGGGGGGGGTGTTCAGATGGTGTGACGCCACACTTTTGCATTATTAAAAAAAAGCAAAGTTAGAAAACGAGTTTTAGATCTAGTACTCGCGTTTAGTATTTCGCGGTTTAGAAAATGTTTATAAATATATGGGACGGCGTGGTCTGGTGGTAGAGCGCTTGATAAAAGTGAAGTTCACTTGTTTCTGTGACCTCGGCATATGAAGAGATAGTGTGGTCAGCACCAGTGGCGTAGGCAGGGGGGGGGGGGTTAGGGGGGGTCATAACCCCCCCCCCCCCATAGACCCCTCGGTATATATATATAAAGTATGAGGGGGGGTGCAAATCGAAAGTTTGAGGGGGGGGGGGTGCAAATCGAAAGTTTGAGGGGGGGGATGCAAATCGAAAGTTTGTCCCCGGGTAAAAATTGGAACCCCCCCCCCCTTGAGACGATCCTGGCTACGCCACTGGTCAGCACTATGCCCAGCCGCCTTTGATTTGATCCCAGATTCGAACTCGAGACTTACGGGTTTGCAGTCTACCCCTAGACCACTCTGTCCCCCAAGAGCGCTTGATAGCTAACCCAAAAGTCTCGAGTTCGGATCTCGGCCCTGACTTGATCTCCGAGTCTACCCAGCTGATGGATGTCTGATTCATGTTAGGGAATGTAAGGCGACTGGGCAGAGTGCTGACCGCAGCATCCCTGCAAAACTCGAAAACGAAGTCAAGAATAATTATGAACTCTGTCTGACATTAGGATCGATAGGACTGAAATGGGAACTTTACATAAAACTCGATTTAAACATAAAGTAAAAATATCACACCCAAATTTAAACAGTGAACATGTATTTATTTTCTAAAGCTTATGCTATGATACATGTACTAGATCTAGATCTAGGTATAAATATATGGTCCAACTAGGCTTAACTATATCAGCATGTTGACTTGAACTTTTTCCCGCCATCGTGAAAAGTTTTAAAAAGGTCAACTATAATTTTTTTCGAAAGTAAAATTTTCACACGAAACAATTAAATACAAAAGATTAAAAGTTTCAACAAAAAACAAAAAATTATATCATCTAGATCAGGGGTTCCCAACCTTTTTTAACTCTAGAGCACATTCTAAAATATCGGTAGGGTGACGGGCACCACCTATTTTAAATCGACAAACTCTTTCCAGAGGCGTAGCGACCCTTCCGACAAAACTTTCGATTTGCACCCCCCCCCCCCTCAAACTTTCGATTTCCATCCCCTCAAACCTTTCAATATGTTTATAAAAAAAATCCTGTCTCTGTTGAATAGTGAGAGGCGGGCACATACGAATCGTTCGGCGGGCGCCATGGCGCCCGCGGGGTTGGGAACCCCTGATCTAGATCTATTTAATTTTTTTTTTTTTTTTACAAAATAGGTATCCCATATTACTATGCTAGCAGAATACCATATGATATATGAGATTGTATTTTTAATTAAACAGTTATTTCCAAAAAGAAAGGAAAATTTGGAAAGGAGAGTGGTGACAGACGTAATTTCAAGCGGTTCTGACTTTTTGTGACCATGTATGACGATTTAAGTGTGTGAAGAAGGGGGATAGGCAAAGAAAAAATATTTATGATGTGATCAAACATTGTGATTGATTGACGATCCGCCGAAGGGACAAGCCTCATTTTATTTAATCTTTGAAACGTCAAGTTTCGTCCATTGATTGTACTTAAATGATTTGGCGCAATGTTGTTCTAGTATATATAGCGAAATATGCATCTGTTAAGATAAATAAGTTTTAACAAAAACGAATGTTTGAGAACCTTTGCATTTAATATTCATCGCCGCGATTGTTTACTTCAAAACAGACGACCGCTGTTCCTTCAGTTGTATTAAATTTATGGACCATAATTGGTTTGAGCTGTGTTAGTTTGAAGAGCACCCATTTTAAAATTCCAAAAGACGTTCCGAAGAGGGCGGATGTTTGTATTATAAATTAAAAAGCATTAAGATTAATCTTTCTGATTAATAGCACACCTAAAACAGTCAAGATTAGTTAAAGGATACAGTCCAAATGTACGCGCATTCCATTTACCCCCCACGTACGGATTATTTTTAGTTCAACGGAAGTTGTGATTCCGTCATAGATTCGTTCCTTTGCGAAAATAGAAGGAAGTGACATTGCACACAACTAATTTTTTTTTAAGATAGCTATGGAAAGTTTATGATTTTTAAGATTACGCCAATATTTATTACAAATGGTAAGTATTCCATTCGAATGTATTCAAATAACTTATTAAACCCTATTGAGATCTAGATTCTAGTTCTAATAACAAGTAGGAATAGACAAGTTGTACAAACAAGATCCATCTCTTGTACTGACTGACTGGTCAGTGTCACACCACCAGACAACAACCACCACTCTCGACTGAGTAACTCGCGATCTATTCTAGATCTAGATCTCTAGATTAGATTTAGTTCTACATATAGTCTATGGAGTGTAGTGAGTTTTGTTCATTAATTAATATTTTGATTTAGTTCTAGAATCTAGAAAATCTAGATTAAGCAGATTTTCTAGAGTGAGAATGAGTCTGAGTCACTCAGTTCAGTTAGAACCATGACGTGTTTTGATTGTTGTTGATCTTTCTTATCTGGAACTGAATCATTTTTATTTTTTATTGTCAGATTTTTATGGCTTACATTACAATTGAAAGCAAAAACTTCATAAGCTTTGGCCCTAATCATTTATGTTTAAGGCTAAGCACAATCAATGGCAGTGGGGGTGTGTTATCCCAGGATCGGATAATCATAATGTTAGGCCTAAATGTAATGCCACAATATTAAACAGTTAGGTTAGGCCTAATCGATAGCAAGGACTAATATTCTAATAATATTAATTTAAATTTAGACATATAATACCAAATACTCCAGCATGGTAAATCGTTAGACCTAGGCCTATTTTATTTTAATATTTCTAATTTGGGGGTCTACTCTAGAACTTTAGGGTTTTTATTTAACTTAGGCCAAAACTAACAGAGTATGTTAAAAATTTAAATAGTGGCTTGTCTCACTAAATTCTAAACTTTAATAAAATATATTTAATTTAGGCCTACATATATTCCAATCATTCTGTTAGCAACATAAGCAAGGTATGCATATAGTTAGGCCTAACTGTTGTAGATATTGATGTAGGTCTGTAGATTTAATACATTACAGTTTACAGTAACATGTCTTTATAATAATAATAGATAGGCCTATACATTTTAGGATACAAGTTAGTTTAACTTAAACACCTCATTTAACCTTAAGGTACGAACAAACTTAAGGAATTGGAATAATTCACTTAATTTTTAAAAATTCATTGATGAAAATTGTGGTAAACTATATTGGTACCAGCTGACAAGCTGACAAATAGAATAGATTAGGCTATGCTTTCCTGTTTTGATTTTTCTCCATGGTTTGTTTCTACATTTTATAGGCCTATTTCAATTATTTATGATTATTATGAATCATTTCTTTTAAAATACATGTCCTAGTTATTATTAAATAGGCCTATTTTTAAAAAGAAATAGAAAGATACTAATGTTTTTTTTCATTTCATTCAGTAAATATTTATATTGGGATATGAAATATAGATTGCCAAATTGGCTTAGTATAGTATAATGCTACTAAAGTTAAAAATATATAGAATCTAATAGGCATCAGCTATACATGACTACTTTTTGTAGACATTGCAGATATAATCAGACATAGGTGCTTATCTTTGGGGATTTTTAATGAGGTATTGTCTGGAATTATCCACACAAAAAAATCTAATTTTCTTAATTAAAAATTAAAAACTGGAACCTCAAAAGAAGTCCCCCATTGATATTGAATACTGTCACCCTGTTAGCAATTTTAAAAAGTATTAAAAGTAGGCTACATTTTATTTTAAACTTTATGTATGAATAATAATATAAAGTATTTTAAATCAAGCACAATTGAATGAAGCAACTTGTTAAATTAGCTTAAACTTAACTACCATGGGCTAAAATTAAAAAGCGCCTATAAAGAAAATAATGTAAAAACTCAAGTTACCATATTATTAGCATTCCTACCCATAAATAGGTCTTCTTAATTTAATACAACATATTTCTATTATTCGTTTACTCAAGCTTCCGACTAAAGAATAGTTAGGTTTTGAGTTTAGGGTCTGGTTAGATGTGCAGCCATCTAAAATTGTTACTTTTGCAGGGTTAGACATCTGAATGTCATCTTGGTAAAAACTGAATATAGTAAATGGATTTGCTTCCTAGGTAATTTTGTTTTTAAAAGTGTAAAGATTTGTTTTTGAAGTGTTACAGAGTTTGATAAAGTGTTCTAAATTAAATTGCATGTTATAGTGAGTGTTAGTCTACAGCCTAATAGGAATTTTTTTTTTAATTATATGAGCAGACGTAAAGGAAAGTATATATGAAAAGTTTTATTGACTGCTTGTGTAATAATTGTTAGTGATAGACTGACTGGCTGAACTTTAGTGAAACAAGAATCTTTTAATGGAAGGTTTATTCTGACGCCCAGATAACAGCCAACAAAACGTATTGTAGTCAGACAATGACATTGCAAACAGAAACCCAAGATAAGCTGCATAAAACTTAACCTGTGATTGAACTATTGTTGTACATAGCTTGAAACTTGTACTTTGGTGTTGCAAGTGCAAAGATCATAATATAAACAGTCAATTCTGTTTTCAATGTTTTACAACCATATTAAATTTTGGTAATTCTGCTTCTTTTACAGCATATAAATCTAATGATTAGTTGGTTCTGAGGGTAAATAAAGACAACAGGAAGTTTGAAAAATCTATTTCTGATAGAATTTGTCACCACAAGAACAGAAGATGCCTGCCATTAGAAGAACGTTAAAAAATGTTGTCAAGAACTATTCAGATGCTCAGGTTAAAGTTCGAGAGGCAACATCGAATGATCCCTGGGGCCCCTCCAGTACACTGATGTCTGAGATAGCAGATTTAACTTATAATGTTGTGGCTTTTACTGAGATTATGCAGATGGTATGGAAAAGACTTAATGATGATGGCAAAAATTGGAGACATGTCTACAAATCTTTGCTCGTCTTAGATTACATTATAAAAACAGGAAGTGAAAAGGTAACGTTCAGTTCTTTTATTATTTGGTAATTTTAACTGGATTTTTTATGTGCCTTATTCTGGATTTTTGTTTTCATTGAACCTATGAATTATGGTATAATTGTAAAACATTGTATATTGATCATTATAAATTATTTATTAAGATATTTAAAAATTTGTGATGCAAAATAGCATTACAGTTACAGAGAGATTAGCTTTTCTGGCTGTTTTAAGCTGCTTTGAAGAATGTTTAAAACAGAAGATAAAGTTTGAATGAAGGTAGCCTTAATTTTTGTCAAATTTCAAAGCAATCAAAGAGAATCTTAACTCACTGTCAATAAGAGGTAGTTTGTGGGATAGGATAAAAATGTTGGACTCTGCATATGAGGGATATATTACTTTAAACAGATTTCATTGAGACAAAGTATAGGCTAAGCTCTAAAAATCTGTCTTCCATTCATCCTCAGGTTGCCCAGCAGTGTAAAGAGAATTTTCATGTCATCAAAACTCTGACCAACTTCCAATACTCAGATGCTGATCAGAAAGACCATGGCCAAAGTGTCAGGGAGAAGGCAAAGCTTTTAGTTGCCATGTTGTCTGATGAGGAGAAGTTTAAAAATGAAAGAGCCAAAGCACTTAAGGCTAAAGAAAGGATGGCCCAGAATGCAATGGGAATGGGCAATGGTACAAGTAGTAGAACTAGGGTATGTTTACAATACATTTATGTATTACTGACTTCTTGAAGTTTATCAGCAGCTTGTTTTGATGAAGCTCGTGTGATTTTTGTGGATCATTTAGAATACAGAGACATGTTTGTACTTATAATAAGGATTTCAATTGTTGAAAAGGAAATGCAGTTTTTAACTCTTAAATTTGTTGCAGGTGCGACTGGGTGGAAGTCCAACAACAGGGGCAGGTTATCAGGAAAGTTATGGCTACCCTGACTGTAAGTCCTCAGTGGTTTAACTTGTAGTGGGTATAATGTACTAAAGATTGCACTGCACATATTCAGAGATTGTAGATTCTCGTACTGGCTTACATTATTTTGTAGAAACCCGGCCTTTAAACTACCTGATACTGCTTCATGGCTACAGCTGGATAGTTTAGTTTTTGGGGATTGCATTGTGCAGTGATATCCTTTATCTACATTCTGCTCATAAAATTATTATAGTTAGAAACAAGAAATGAGTAATAAAAGACTGGCGGGTGAAACAATGCTATTTATATTCTATTTGTTTTCATTTCAAGTTATGTTTGAACCCACCCACCTTACTACTCTTCACTGTGTTTGACAGGATCGAGAAGGTTGTAGAGTAATTTCCCCTTTTGCTTATTTAATTCACCAGCCATAGACCTTCTGGTAAATATTGGTGAACTGTTAACAAAGTTATCTAACCTTTTGTATATATAAAAAAAAATTCATCAATGTGAGAAGCTAGAATCTTAAGAAATGGAGTAAAAATTATTTTATTATGCCTTTAAATTAGCACAGCAAAATATGTTATAGTGATTAGGGGAGGGTTTTAAAAGAAAATAAGGTGTTGACAGCGCAAGTTGGTATCATTATCACATGTTACCAAGTAGGTCTTGGCTTATGTTTTGTAGTGAGGTCTTATTGGTATACATATTTTCTTGTCTGGCTATGCCATCACTTTGTTCTCTAAAATAACACAAGAAAATTATAAACATGACACTACTAATAACCTCATTGTGTGGAAACTGTCTTTTAAAATAGTCCAAAGTCATAGATTCAGTTATTTAAAAATATTCTGTAAATTAGCAGTCACATTTCTCATCAATTTTCTAGAAATTCTCTTCACATTTCTACCATTTAAAGAATGTTTTACCTTTTATTTTTCTATTGAAGCAACCACTAAAACTTGATTGAGTCAAAGATGTACTTATTTTAATAAGATTCTTAGAAATAAACTAACCTAACACTTTTTGAAACTTTAGCAGAAAATGCAATGAAGCTTATGCAGCCTGTTAAATTGGGTGTTATTTTAATAAAAGAAATCTACACCATATTTAGATTTTATTTTTTAAACATATAAAATGTTTCCAGCATCACCAGGCAGTGGAAGTGCTGGTACTCCTTCAGAAATTGAATCAGCCAGACCTTCATCAGCTGGAGAGGAAGAGCTGCAGCTACAGCTGGCTCTGGCCATGAGCAAGGAGGAACACGAGGAGCATGTGCGCAAACAGAAGTCTGATGACATCAAACTGCAGATGGCAATTGAGCAAAGTAGGGAGCAGGCCAAAAATGTGAGTCTCATGGTGGTTCAGTTGCTAGCTGCTACAGATAAATTGGTTGAGTCCTAGCTGCTTCAGATATGATGGTAGAGTCATAGCTGCCTCAGATATGATAGTTGGTCATGTCGTGGCTGCTACAGATGTGTTGGTTAAGATGTAGTTAATAGAGATGTTGGATGAATTATTTAGTATTAAAAAAAACACCCCAGGCCTATTTTTGTGGCTGTTCTTTTCATATGATCTTGTGCGTGTACACGCTACCTTTGTGCACATCTCTTTATGCTATAGAGCCATGTGAAAAATCTGCCATCACAACATTGCAAATGTGCCTATGTATAAAATGCCAGTCTGCTGAGTGTGCATGTTTTAGTGTTCCGTGTTCACATGCTTCAAACATGAACTCAGTCTATTTCAGTTTCAGACTATTTCAAGTTCTCCACTCTGCTCATCGGCAATGTAACAATTACTTTTGTCATTGAAACATTCAAATAATTTGTAAGCCTTGTAAATCATCTGCATCAGACAAAGAATTTTTTTCTCAAATTTATCTAGAAAGCTTTAATGCTCATAGGAGAACTTGTATGTAAAATTTTAAATTCTGGGGTAAGGTAATTGAACTGTTGCAGATTGTTGAACAGGTGAATTTTTATGAATATCAAACACACTGAGAACCATGTTCTTTTGAATGGAGTTAACTTACTGTTGAGAGACAATCACATCACTGTACTTGTTTTAATACAAAAACTGCTTTCACTTTGTTGCTGTTGCATTCTTGGACTATCACATTGCTGGTTGTAATTAACTAGCTATCTCAGCATACTGCGGACTGGAATCACATCGTACTCTGTCAACATGGCTGAGAAAATGCACTGTTAAATAACATGGCTGAGGAAATGCACTGTTAAATAACATTTGTAATACACAGTCCTGTTAGTTTTTTTTTTTTGCCCCTCTAAAGACATCAGTCCTTCTTACTTTTTGTGTATTCATAAATTGATTGTAAAATTCTGGAGACATTGGGTATTTTTTTACTGACGAGTGTGACTTAAATTGCTGCTAAGATGTTATGTCATTTCAAAAATGAATTTTCAATTAAGTTGTTTAAATTATTTGAAATAACAAATCTTAATATATTTGATAATTTATAAAAAAAAAGTGTTGAAGACACAAGTATTTTGAAAATGATAATAAACATTTCACACAAGTTACTAAGATTTTGGGCAATTTTTTTTTCTCGAATAGGACAGACGAAGACAACAGCAAGAGTTAGCCACAGTAAGCTGTGTGTTGCTATCTTTCTACTGCATGCTCGTTCTAGATGCATTAGAAAAACTTTCACTCCTGTATTTACAGCAAACTTTATTCCTTTGCATTTTATATATCCATTAAATTTATCTTTGAAATTTCCCTGTCTTCTGATTGTTCAAGTTCATCTATATACAAATTTGTTGCTGTATTTTTTTTCAGTTGATTTAATATTTTGTTTTGGCTTTCATCTTGTTTGAAATAATGATTTACTATATGTACTATATTTATCATGTCAAAGCACATTAATTATTATTATTTTAGTAGAAGTTACATATAGTAAGCTTTTTAAAAAACACATTCTTATAGTATATGTTCTTGGCTGAAAAACTTGAAAAAATATTTGAAGCAATCGCTTACCAATCCCTCCCCTCTCCAACCAACACCTTGCTGTTAATGTATTTTCCCTCAAGGTCAGTTTTTCCATAATCTGTAACTCTGTTTTAATTAAGTAAAATTAAGAAATCCATTTTTAAAACCAAAATCATGTGGTTATTAGAGTAAATCTAACAAAGTAAAAAAAAAAGTAAAAAAAACTGCTTAGCTTTGTACTTGATTGAATCACACTTTTTTCTTTTTTAAAAATGTTCCGTATAGGCAATGTTTCTTAATTTTCTTCCAACTATTCCAACCATAGTCATCATACTGAAGCCCTTCTTTTTACACCTTTATATACATTAAACTAATTATGGTCTTTAAACAGTTATTTGCTTCCCTGTAATGATTTCTGATATAATTTTTCTATGGTTTAGAAATGAACATGATTTTTACTTTTTAACTACCTAATCAATATGATAAGATATTGAAGTCTATAATAGTTTACTATTTAACTCTAGCTGAACTCAATGAAAAATAAAGGAAAAAATTCAAATAATTTGTCACTTGACTAAATTTTATGATCGAGTTAAATTAAAAGAACCCAGTATAAGTAATGTAAGGAAAACAGGAACCTATTTGTGTTTGCTGATAATGCTAACACCCTGTCTGCCTGCAGCCACCAATATAGATATCTGATAAGCTGTTTGAAGTGGATGTTGTCATTTGTTTTGATGTTGTGCTGTGTATGTTTTGCTTTTACTAATATTAGTGTCAGCTGTTGAGTGTTTTTATATTATATTAGTTTGTTAGAGAATCAATTGTTGACTAAAGACTTAGTTAGAAAGTACAGTACAGACATCAAGAGGATGGTCTGTCTGGTCTTGGTATTCTATTAGACCCAATGAAGTTGTTTATCTGGTTATAGACATTAAGACATGTATCTGATTTAACATTTGAACCTGATCTCAAAACCCAACCCAGCTCCATCATTAGCCCAACAAGGTATTTGACTTTGTGTTAATTTCATCTCAGCAGAGCCCACAGTCCACCACACTACTGGACCTTGCTGGTCCCAGCACGGCAGGTGCCCATTCTCTCAACACTGACCCATGGGGCATGCCGGTACAGTCTTCTGTGTCTGCTGACCCCTGGGCCGCACCCTTACCTGGACCTTCGAACACAGTTCCACCGGACCCGTGGGGGGCTTCAGGAGGTGTCAGAGCCCCCGCCGGTAATGTCGCAGCACCAGTAGACCCTTGGGGGGTAACTTCATCTAGTCCACAGCCAAGGGCAGGTAAGCCATTGTGTAGCTACACTCAGTTTGAGTTATGTGACCCTTACCTTTTTTTGTGGCTTGAACCTTAGCCGATGTACCTTTCAGTTGGAATGAAAATGTAATCAGCCTCTAAATGATTTCTTCTCTATGTTGATCCGTACATTTACACCACCTCTTCCTGGTTACCTCTAGCTACTGTACATCTGCAGATAAATTTGTACTAAATAAAAATATTAACCATGTTTTTTTCTGAAAATAAGACAGCCATAGACATGTAGTATCTTTGAAAAAATTAGAATTATCAAATACAAAATTTTAATTTAGTAATAATTTTTAAAAAATTATTCTAAGTCTGTTGGTATTCCTTACTTTATGTTCTGTAGTGATTAGAGCCAGAGATATGGTGATGATGTGGGTGAAGCAAATCATGTAGTAAAATATGCAATTATAATACATTCTGTCAACATTTTAATATGAAATAGATTCCAACCTTTTTGTGCAACTGTTATCCAAATGCTTTTCCCCTCCCTACCCTCCCTTCATTCAATCATGTTGCAGGTGCCTGGTCCAGTGCCAGTCCAACACCGCTCGCCTCAGCCCACCAGTCAACAGCTGACCCTTTTGGCATTGTTGCCCGCAGTGGCGTCTCTAATGGAACATCAGCACCAAACAACATTGATAATGAATTTGATTTGCTGAGTGCACGCAGCGCTGACACGTCGCCAGCTAAATCAGCAGTGCTCGATGAATTTGATCTGTTAGGTAGGTGAAATGGTTTACCGGTTATTTTTAAATTTTAAATAATGAGAGCAGCGGTTTTTAAACTTAAGTAATGCAAGAAATCAACAATGAGAAAAGCTATTGAAGGAGTTGTACCTTGGTGTTTTGAAATAATCTTTTCTTGATGTAAAAAATAAAGTCTCCTCACTTTGCTGGAACCGTTGGCTGAGAAGACACTGGAACTCGATCGCTTGGAGAAACATATGATATAGACCAGCGTACAAATTGGTCTAACATACAGGGATTGTGTTGTCTCAGCAAAGCATAAACCACCCATTTTATTGACTTAAGTTTAGGTACTCATCAATGCTGAGTAGAGTTTGTCAAAATTTCACTAGTGAGTTCATGCACTCTTTACTCCCATTACTTAAGCTCTGTGTGTATTAATGTTTTTGAGTGGTTTTTTTAATTGACCATTTTCATTTTTCCTTTCTTTTAGGTGTTTCTCATACTAACGGTTCAAATGCTGATGCTTTTGATATGGACAGTTTAAATCAAGATCTGCCACAGAATAAAAAGAAAAGTGCTGAGGCATTTCTAGGTGGTCATGCCAACCTGGTCAATCTTGACCAGTTGGTTTCAAAAGCTCCACCTAAAGGTAAAACCTGGCAACAGGTTAAGTTTGTTGACCCCTTGACCTTTCTCCTTGTGTGCCTTCCCAGCCTGCATTCATATGATACATGCATTCAATACTTTTTTAGTATTATTATGATTATATGCATTTAGTACCTTTGTTTATTTGTTAATTAAAAAGTAAAATTTTATAAAAGATATTTTACAAACAACAGTCTCAATCTGTGCTTTTGCACTTCTGAGTCATATTAAGACTTTTTTAGTTAGCTTTGCAGGACTAGTTTTGTTTATGCCAATGGTGAAAACTGTTTAATAATTGTACTAAAATAACTACATAATTAGAAATGATTAAATCTCTAAATTAATATCCTACACTAGCCACAAATTTTTACAATTTCTCTCGCAAATGCCAGATCTGCAAAATGATGCAACTTATTGTGTATTGTTGTCTAAAAAACAAGATTTGTTTTGTTTCAGGCAACAACCCATTTGCCATGACAACGGGTGCTAGCAACCCTTTTCAGGACCCCACCACTGGGGTGAGGATGCCCATGGCTCAGATGGCCCCGTCAGGGCCGGGCTTCACACAGCCTGTCAACACAGGGTTATTACCTGCCCCCCTGCTTCCACTCGGCTCAACACAAGCTATGCAGACCCAGCAAGGATACAACCCATTTTTATGAAAACATAGTCCATCTTGTGAGGGTTTGTCCCCCGTCTCATAGATGGACTCAGCCGTGTTTGTGAGGGACTTCACTTGGGGAAATGAAGAGAAATAAGGAGAAAAATATAATTTTTTTTAAAAAATTGGTTTGTGGAAAAAAAATGTCAAAGCAGAAGAACTTTGTGTTAAACTGTAGGATGGATGTAGTGATTTCATTCCTACTAGATCATCTTACCTTTGAAGCAAAACTTGTGGCACGTCAACAGGATATTCCTTGCAAAGTTTTTCCAACATATCGGGGTATGAGTGGGTAAACAGCAGTCGCCTTCCTTACTGTGGTCAAGTTTTGAGTAGAAACCAACACCCTCAAGATACATGGGTCACAAAAGTTCCGATGTGTTACACAAAGGCATGGCATGTTTGACAAGTGTGGACATAGGATGAATCTTCTGTATATATTGAAGTGTATGGCAGCTGTATGTCTCATATTTTGAGTGTCTGTTGAAGAATGTCATTGGTCATGTTATCTATCTATACATACAAACACATATATATATATCAAGTGCCACTTTGGTTATGCAATTGTATTATCATGTCGATATTTGTTTTTAAAAAGAATTACTACCTTTTCTTCATGTATTACAGAGCATTATTCACTCTATATGGAAAAGCAAAGAGATCTATGTCTTGTCTGTTTTCATTTTTTTTTTCTGTGTGCATTAAGAAATAAGTAATCAACACAAGTCCAATTTGCCTTTTTTTTTTTGTTTAAAAAAAATAAACCGAATATTTACTGTGTATTGTCATTAAAGCATGGACACCTTTTTTTTTTTATTTTTACAACATCTGTGTAAAATACCTTTTTTTTTAATAATTGCAGATAAAGGCTTAGTAATGAAAATTTTGAAATACTTGCCATATTGCCTTGTATTTTCTAGCTTTACTCTGAATTTATTTCATGAGGGAGACAGTAGAGGACAATAAACACTGATAAGGTGAGCCAAAACCACTTGTACATACAGAGGTGTACAGAATGCCATTACCAGTGGGGCCCAGTGGTACAAACTACAGGGTGTAGTTGTTTCAAGCAATAATGTGGGGTGGGGACAGATGCACGCACCAGCTTCCTGCATAATAAGTGTAGCTTTGCCTGTTTTTGATGCTGAATTGTTGCATGAAGATTAGGTTGCTGAATAGGTCATGTTTTCTTTTTTTTTTATATTACAAAATTGGGGTAGTTAATTTGGAGTTTTCAGGTAAAAGAGAAATATAACCTGTTAGTGGATTATCTGTATGGATCTGCTCCTGTATCTTTATACATCTCTAAAACAGACATTGTCTTACAGAATTCTGAAACCTGTGAGTTCTATGGCAGTAATATTGTAATGTTGATAACTATGATTTTTTCACTAGCTCTTATAAATAAAGCAGTTGAAGAGAAGTGCTTTTGTTTCTTCTTGAACATAATTTATTGGGGCCATCCATTTATGACTTCCACACTTGAGTCCAAGTGGACATCACATCAAAAATCTTCAGAAAAATGCTTAGCAGGTTATTAAATTATTACTGCAACTATGTACATAATAAAGTGTACCTCTGCAGTAACTGATAAATGATAACAGAAATATAGAGGCCATGAACTTAATGTGTCCTTATACTGTAAACAACTGAGAACAATATTTCAAGAACTTTCTATCCATAAAATAAGTCTTACACAATGTATCAGTCTTAAAATATTGTTACAAAGGAAAACAAAATATTTGTCTTACTCATAACAATGCAACCTACACATACATATAGAGGATCTATAGGCTAGAGTAAAATCTCATCTATATACTTGAAAGTTATCTAAAATGATGACACAAATTCATGTTCAAATTCAGCTGTATTTTAATTCATGTAATAATACAACATAATAAAACTTATCTTGTCAACAGGTCTAATACAATCATACATTATAATATACTCAAGTTAACACAATGAGATCAAAAAACTAGTTGATATTCCTTCTTTTAAGCAAATTGTGATACTAGTTTTTATACACAGATAAATAAAATTGGATTTTTAAAAACTATTTGAATGGTAAGAACGGAGTATATATAAATTAGCAAACATATAGACTACAAATATTGAGACCTGCTCATGTAGTAGATTTCAACCAGTTGAAAACAAAACATTCTGGTCCACAATAACCCTAGTTGGTTTAATTATGACAATTAATAGCGGTATAATAGTGTATATCTCCTAACTTAAGATTACATGGCCAGTCAGATCTAATCCATCAGGTACTTTTTAATCTAGACAAACAAGTTCCTTAATCAACTCAATCAATTTGTCTTCTCTGAATAAACAAGTCCTAGGTAAAAATATTCTAATTATTAAATTATTAGTAACGGCAAGTCATGTAGTGTACAGAACAGCAGGGTCCTAGCCTAAGACAGCTGTTATAGCTCATGTAGACCATCAGTGATGATAGGGACCTTGAGAGACTTGAGGAAAAACTGTTTCTCTGCTACATCATTGACTGTCCATGCTACTAAGGTTACACCTAGACTGTCCCAGAACTTTTTGTTATCTCTGGAGAAGAGAACAGGCAAACTATGAGATGCACATGTGCTGGTAAAATAATACAATTAATCTACAGCTAAATTCTTTTAGTAGTTTAAGGTAAGTTAAGTTTGTAAAGTAACTGACAACAGATGAAGAAGGGCAAGGACCCTTGTAAAGGGATTGTGTGGTTTGCACTATACTCTGTTAACTTTACTTCCCATGACTTTATTTAAGTGCCCTTCAGAACAGGATGGACCAAGATGTCCTTTAGACCAAAGTCAAGGGACCAAACTTGAGAATTTCAGGTTAGCAACAGAGTGCTCTACCACTTGACACTACCACTACCCCATAGTTGTACTTACAAACATTGTCCTTGCAGCACAAGAAGAAAGAGTTGCCACAAATGTAAACACCACCACCCCATTGTTGTACTTACAGACAAACATTGTCCTTGCAACACAAGAAGAAGGAGTTGCCACAAATGTAAACACCACCACCACCCCACTGATGTACTTACAGACAAACATTGTCCTTGCAACACAAGAAGAAAGAGTTGCCACAAATGTAAACACCACCACCACCCCATTAATTTACTTACAGACAAACATTGTCCTTGCAGCACAAGAAGGAGTCGCCACAAATGTAAACACCACCACCACCCCACTGATGTACTTACAGACAAACATTGTCCTTGCAGCACAAGAAGAAAGAGTTGCCACAAATGTAAACACCACCACCCCACTGATTTACTTACAGACAAACATTGTCCTTGCAGCACAAGAAGAAAGAGTTGCCACAAATGTACCACAGTATAGCCCAATGGGACCAGGCCAAAGCTATATCAAGCCAAGGGGAGACAAACTTTTTCCACAGCTCATTGTTTCTCTCAGACCCATTCCCCAGCAGACTCAGTATGTAGTTTCTGTGGGTCAGCCCAGTCAGGATGGCGGGGTCAGCTTTACGCACCTAGACACAACATATAAAACATAAACATTTGAAAAAATTCACAGTTGCAGTAAAACTAAAGGTTTAACTTTAGTTCATTACATTTAATGTGGGACAGTGTAGTCAAAAGGTAGTGTGTTTAGCTGCAAGCCAGAAGGTCTCGAGTTCAAATCTCTGTTTGGACCTGTGACCATGTTAGGGAAAGTATAAGGCAGCTGGGCATAGTGCTGACCACACTTCCCCCTCATATGCCGAGGAAAATAAATGAACCTTCGGGGTTAGGGTTCGCTGGGTATAAAGAGGAACTTTACTTTTACACTTAATGAAAATCCTTTTAAACAGTTGTCACACAGTAGGCAAATCTGTGAGGGAGATGTCTGGTTAAGCAAGAAAGCTTTTTAAACTATTACTGGCACTAAAGATTTATATTAACCATTTTAATGTCAGTTATTTCTTATTATTTCCCTCCTTACAAATATTCTAAAAACATTCCTTATATAGTTTTTGTATAGAAGAATATTCACTATCTTAGTAAAGCTTCTAGGAGCATGTTAAAGATTGTACAATATACATAAAATAATGCATTTTGTCTAATACACTGAGACAAAAAAAGCAATTAACTACACAATGCATTATAATACTTGAAAGTAAAATGGTAACTAAATACTTACTGCGTAAATTATACTGGGATAAAAGGAGCAAACTATTCCAAGCTCATATAGATCTGGATACTTCTTGTAGAGTCTTGAAATTAGCTTGGCAGTCTGTTGATACAAAAAAAGCTCTAGATGATGAATGATTTTGTGTATGTGATTAGCAAAATTTTGGCAACCAAGTAATTAGTATTGGAAAATATTTTTAGTCATATGGTCTATTTTCAAAATCAACAATGACATTTTATGCAGTGTATTGTTAAAATTGATACCTGGGATTTTTTAACCTGATAACTAAAATGGCATACCTGTTCAGGATTACTTTTACAGTCAATAAAAACAACAAGCTTATGTTGGATGCACATCTCTAGGCATGCTTCTAATGTGGGTATACGGACTGCAGTAAAACCATTTCTGTGAAAATAAATGGTCAACAATCAGATTAGTTGCTAACATACAAGTAAAAACAGACTAAGAATATAAGTACTCAATTAAATGAAAAAAAAAAGAATTGGCTAATAAATAAATTTTACAAACAACTGGCAATCAAGACTACCCTAAAAATAACTATTTTTTTTAGATAGCATTAACAATACTTGCCATCCTGACATGTGAATTATGCTGTTCATTAATTGAATATGATGTACAACTAAACCCCCACCCCCAGGTTTCCATTCAATCTATTGTAAAGTTTATGTGATTTGATCTCAGCTCAAAAAAAAAAAAAAAAAAAAAAAAAAAAAAAAAAAAAAAACTATTGACATTCTAAACCACTTAAAGTATTTTAAACATTGAAAATGGTCTTAAATTGTATATTTCATCAGCACAAGTGGATTTATTTTTTAACTCTCCAGGCTAAACTAATTTAGACTACAGTAACAAGAACAGTGGGAGATACAAGGCAACACAAACTCATAATTGGACGGACATGGAATTAAATGTGTCTTTAACCTAAACACAACATTGACCACTAGAGGGGGAGGGGGGAGGAGGGGAAATTTCAAAGAAATGTTATGAAACTTTGATAGAACAAATTGCCAAGAATGTTGCCATTGGTGAGATTCCAGTAGAACAAATTTTTCTAAGTGAGAAAAGAAGAATCTATTACAGTGGCCCCCAACTCTGTAGATTTATGTTTGTTTTACTCTTAAAGCTCTACTTTGCTTATGAATGTTTACTACACTGTTCTATGTTTCCCTCTTAAAGTAAACCTCTACTTTGCCCATGAATGTTTTCTATACTGTTCTATTTTGTTTACCTCTTTAAGGTCTAACAGTAACTATTGTAGCCATTGTGAATTAGTTGTGAGATATTCATATTCAAATCAAACCACCACACCAAACTGTACGTGCTAAGTGTTTAGTTAAGCAATAGGTTGGCAACCACTGTTCTAACACACTGTATACCTATTGGCAAACTTTGCTGCGGCATTCAGTTTCTGAAGCTCTTCAAAAGTGAAATCAGAGACAAAACCAGACCCATCTGTGGTGTCATTCACTTTTGGCCCATGTATAAGTACACCAATATCATCCTTGGTGAAATCTAGGTCTACTTCTATAGATGGGATTCCTAACTTAACCGCCTGCATTGGAGTAACATTGGTTATGTGCAACAAAAAAATAACGTAAAAAAATTCAGACCAAGAAAAACACAACTGGTCAATAAGAGTCTTGTAAGAAAAATTAGTCAACAGCGTAGTCTAGTTGTGGTCAGTGGGATAGTTTTGTTGTGGTCAAGCTGTAGTCAATGAAATAGGCTACTTGTGGTCAATGATATAGTCAAGCTGTGGTCAATGAAATAGGCCACTTGCGTCAATGATATAGTCAAGCTGTAGTCAATGAAATAGACTACTTGTGGTCAATGATACAGGCTTCATGTCAACTGGATAGTCTAGACCTAGTTGATGTCAGCAAAATTATAAAAAGTTCTTGTAATTGCTTTTCATTCAACACTTTTTCATGGTTGATTAGGTTTACCCGTCATGATAAAATTGTATTTCAATCAACAACAAAACCCCTTATCCAGAGAAATGTAAAGAATGAATGAACCATCATTTACACTTTCATAGCCAGTACTGAGTTCACAAGTAGGATGATGTCATCTATGCTGAATACATCTTCTACCAGCTAATGGTAATTTTTTTTTCTTTCACATTTGTTTTGTATTCTTGAATCCAGGTTCTATCAAAATAACCCACAACACACTTGTGCCAAATACTTGTTTTATGCTGATTTGTCACCTTTAACTCTTAGAAAGTACTACATGATTTTCTTGTCATGATATAGATCTACATTGCAGAGAGAGAATTGATTGAGCTAAGAACTATGGTGAGGAATCTCAATTTTTCTGCCCAATACACAGCAATATAAAATAACTGTATACATGTAACTCAAATGCTAGTATAAAAATCTGTTACCTGTGCAATGGCTTCTAAAGTATTTTCAGGAGCGTGTAGACCACCCGCTTTATGGAAAATAGTGTTGTTCTTGTGATTTTCTGCGTCAAACTCAAACAAGTTGCGGACCCTTTCACTGGTCCTGCTCTTTGGAACTGGCTTGATTCTAAAGTACTTGACAACACCAGCTAGGACAATTGTCAGAGATGCGGATATCCAAAAGGTTGAGACAACCAATGTGGATATAAGCATCCACAACAGCACCACATTTCCCAGCAGGATGATGGTCTTCTGGGATAAACTCATGGCACAAATGAGTGAATTTCTAAAAGGAAAAAAAAAGTTTGGTAATTTAATTTTTAAATTGCGAATTATAGGCCCCTATATAATTATAATATAGTCTAACAAAGCAAAACTTTAGTGACAATTACTCTAGAGTCTAGATCCTAGTTAGTTAGTATAGCTAGATCTAAGTATACTACTACAACATCTCATTTAAAATCCTTAGAAAAAAAATTTAGTCAAACTGTTGAAATGTTATTAGATCTAGATTAGAATCTAGATCTATATTCACACTAGATCTATATTGTAATGCTATTTAATAAGTTATTGTTGTTAATAAAAATAATATCTGTGTTAAACTTGTTAGGCCTAGGGCCTAGGGGCCTAGATCTAGATTCTAGATCTAGAAAATCTATATCTAGATTCTAGATCTAGATCTAGATCTACTTGTTAAATTAATTGAATAATTGTTAAATGTTAATTTTAATAATTTAATTGTTGGGTCACTGAAAAATCCCTGTTTTTTAGAATACTAGATTTCTAGATAAAGATACTGGATAGACTTCTAAACATAAAACTAAAGGCTAGATCTACTCACCAGCGGATAGAATATCTAGATCTATACTAAGTATAGATTAGATGCCTGGTTAAATCTTTGAATGAAAAATTTCGGCCACCCAACCAAGATTCTTAGATTGCGCTGACAGGTCATGAACTCATATTACGTGAGTAGATTAAACTGGCCTGAACTGAAAGAAAAAAATGCCTGGAGTATTTATTAAATAAAATTGAATACAACTAAAGGTCTTGAAAGGCAGTTAAACGAAAGTTGTATCTCTGTATGGAACTTTTTATAGTATTTAGATCTATTATATACTAATTGCAAAGTAACGCAGAAAGTATGCATTTATGTATTATTCTCTATAAAAAACTTGATTTTTGACTGTTCTGAAAAATGAACACTCCGACATACTATTTAAAAAACTAGATCTAGGATTCTAGGTCATCAATGACTCAATGACAATACAATGTATTAATTATTTTTTTAAAACTAGGTTTACCCGGTCAAACAAAATAGTTCAAATTCTCTCACATAGCATTTCAATGTGTTAGAAACAAATATCACTGGCTTACCTAAAGGCTAGAATTAAGAAATGGATTTAGTGTCGTCGGCATCTGAACACTGGTCTCCGGGTTATCTCAGGTCATGAGTCATGGGTTTTATCTAGGACTTCAGGGTAGGCTATGGTCTAAGACTCTAAAGAAAGGTTATGAACTCTAATAAGAGGGTTAGCCGCTATACTTAAACAATTCTTAAGTGTAGACCTTACGATGAATTAATAAAGTCTTTTAAATCAAATTTTCAGCAGTGGCCTGTTAGACCTGTTAGGATTATAAACTAAAAAAAAAAAAACGAGTTGTACTATATCCTAATCCATTGTCATAAAAAGTCAGGCTCCCCACCATATAAAATGACGTCACACCTTAACCTGCGCACCCCCCCCCCCTAAATAAAAAAATTCAGTTTTTGTTTTACTTTCTCGTATAGACCTTCAGAATATAATAGCAAATATCATAATCGTGCACATAATTAAATGAAATTTTGACAGTTTTCGCAGTTTTACACCTCCCTATTTTAAGATATAGGCCCCTACGGAATATAAAAAATGTATTGCATTAGTGCAAAAAATATAAATCGATATTTTTACAAAAAAACCTTTCGGAGCCCGAAAAACATAGTTATACCATCCTGTCTTTCTGTGTGTGTGTGTGTGTGTGTGTGTGTGTTTGTGTGTGTGTGTGCATGCGTGCGCGCGCGTGCGTGCGTGTGTGTGTGTTTGTGTGTGTGTGTGTGTGTGTGTAAACACAATAACTTGAGTACCGTTTTATTTAGGTTGGCGGAATTACATAAATGAATTTTCATAAAGGAATAATTATATCAAATGTGTAGTTTTCTTTCAAATTTTGAGCGATTTCCGGTCATCGTAACATTCCTACTTAATTCCCGGTTTCCCAAAAGCTTATAATTTGAAAACCACTCAACTTAGTTGGACGAGATTTTAAAATATAAGTACCAGATCATGTGCCCTGTTTTTTATCAACTTTTGGGGGATTTCCGATAAGCTGAAGTGGTATTTTACTCAATTTCCGTAGAACACTATAACTTCAGTACTATTTTAGTTAGGTAGACGAAATTTTATGTATAAGTGTAAAATCTTATACTTGGATTACTCTCAAAATCCGAGTGATGTCCATAATTACTTTAATCTATTTACAGTTACAAACAGTTTCTAAAATACCAATAACATATGTACCGCTCGAGGTAGGTATACTAAAGTTCATACATTGGTATGATATCTTTCTTTTTCTTTTGATACCAACAAACGTATATATATATATATATATATATATATATATATATATATATATATATATATATATATATATATATATATATATATATATATATATATATATATCGGAAATTTTAAGTGCGCCCTTTCGAAAGGTTCAAGTACGCTCCCCTTACCACCCCTCACAACGGGGTAAACTGAAAGAAATACATGGGGGTTTCCCAAACGCTGCTTACTTACTACCGGCGGCTTCAACAAATTTGACATAATGTAAATGAAAAAATACACCCAAAAACTACCGAAACAATAAATGATTTAATTTAGCTCTAATCAACAACGTACATGGGCTCAACTAAAGAGAGCTGCCCGGTGGAGAGGTCTAGCCGCAGCCCTTTGCTACTTTGTGGCTTCACGAGATATAATAGACAGTCTTAATCAAACAACTTAATTAACAGAAGTGTTCTTCAAAATTGTAATTCGGCTTTATCAGTAAACAAATCAACTCAAGGCCGTGTGTTTTTGCGGACTTTGTTTTACCCGATGACTGCCTGTGTCCAAAGCGGGTCCAGACTGCCATTGTGCCAAATGTTAAACCCGAGTGGGGGATACATTTAAAAAGAATCTTCTTCTTCGTTCTTAATTTTAGTGTTGGAAGGGACCCCCCTCCAACACAATTAAGGATATGTGTCAACTGGTTATGCGCCATTGAGGCCATTGACTCCGATTTCAGCCTGCTATTCTTTTTGGATTTGCTTCCATAGCCGTTGTTCAACCAAGAGAATAAACGATTATACATTTCTATGGCAAATAATGTGACCCTAAGTCACTGACGAGAGTAATAAGTTAAATTATAAGAAATACGGCTATTTTCTTTCTGGATTTGTTTTCATAGCTTGTCCACCCACGAAAAAGGTAGCAGTTGTTTGATTTTGGAGTTTCTCTACTAGATGGGTTGCTGTCCCCCAGCTATCGAGCCTCATTTGCCAGGGCTAGATCTATATACTAATTAATTAAAGCTAAGGGTTGGGGTCGCACTTCAAGTAGAACTAAGCTATAAAAATGTTAGGTAAGTTTCTGACAAAACCGGTCGTTTTAGGCGAAATTATAAAGGTGAAAAGTTCATAAAATATGCAGCTTTTTAAAAAAAATATGTAAAAATATAATAGATTACCTATAAAATTATCAAATTCCGTTTTTTTAATGTGTCCACTGTAGCACGCACCACTTCTTTTTGACGGTACTTTGGTGCGGGATTTCGCTGTTATGAGGTTTTGTGTTTATTATCACACCAACTCCATAGCTATTGATTGATTTGTGAGTGGTACTGCTAGGCCAAGAGTGAGCTAATAGGTTTTGTTGGAGGTGTCAAATCTCTTGGGGGATTCAACATGTGAGGAGGGTCAGACCTCAAATATTTCAACCATCGTGTGGCTAAAGTCAGTCTTAAAATATTTAAACCATTTTGTGGCTAAATTCAGTCTTAAAATATTTAAACCATTTTTGTGACTAAAGTCAGTCTTAAAATAGTTAAACCATTTTGTGACTTAAGTCAGTCTTAAAATATTTAAACCATTTTGTGACTTAAGTCAGACCCAGAGAATGTAAACCATCGTGTGAGGAAAGACAGTCATAAATAAAATAATGGAACCATCTTGTGAGAAAAAAGTTAGGTTATTTTAAGAATATTTTAAATATCTTTTGAGGGTAATGAGGGTAATTGCTAGTTAGTCGAAGAATATTTTAAATATTTGATACCAACTTGTGTGGAAAGTTATATGAAAAATATTTTTTCAAGGTCGTATTACTATGTAGGTTTCATGTACCTTACTGATAGCGTAGAGTGATGTATGGAGAATATGGTAAATGCAGCGTAGTTCGATGAAGTTCGAGTTAATCATAATTTTTATTTAGTATATTAATACATTGACAACGTTAATGTGGAAACGTAGTTATCTCAACACGGTTTAAAATCCTTATCTTTCATTATGTACCTGCTGAGTCAGCGTTTTTTGTTTGGTTGTTGAAGGATTAGATAAGAAGAATATTTGCTTGGTATTTGTGTTACCATTCCTCATCTAGGTAAGTTTCAGAGGAGTTTTACATATGTTAAAGTATGGAAGAAGATTTTTTTTAGAAGACTATGATGGCAGAGCAAGGGGAAACAGAGGGTGAAATTGTTGAAACAGAGGGAAACAGGTGAAATTGAGGACAACATTGGGGAAAGAGAGGGCAACATGGGGGAAACAGAGGGGAAACATATGGGAAACACAGGGCAACATGGGAGAAACAGGGGGCAACATGGGTGAAATTGAGGACAAGATTGGAGAAACAAAGAGAAACATTTGGGAAACAGTGGGCAACATATGGGAAACAGAGGGCAACATGGGGGAAAGAGAGGGCAACATGGGGGAAACAGAGGGCAACATATGGAAAACAGAGGGCAACATGGGAAATAGGGCAACATGGGAGAAACAGAGACAAAGGATACAGTGGACAGTGAGAGGTACATATGATACAGTGGACACAATATAGAGAGGTACATAGGATTCAGTGGACATAGAGAGGTTCTTAGGATACAGTGGACACAATATAGAGAGGTACATAGGATACTGTGGACACATCATAGAGAGGTACATAGGATACAGTCGACAGAACATAGAGAGTACATAGGATACAGTGGACAGAGAGAGGTGCATAGGATACAGTGGACACAATATAGAGTGGTACATAGGATTCAGTGGACAGAGAGAGGTACATAGGATACAGTGGACACAACATAGAGAGGCACCTAGGATACAGTGGACATTACAGAGAGACACGTAGGATACACTTCACACCTTTACCTATGTTAAAAATACCGAAGACATTTGGATGTGACCTAATGACACTACTGACCACTGCTTTACTTGACCAAGATCAAACGGACCCCATTTGTCAATGTAGTACCCTCCCTCTCCCCTCTCTCTCTGCCTTTAAAGCGACATAAAATCACCTCTTTTTTTTTCTTTGTAAAAAAAAAAAAGAACCATTAGATAATGGAGCTTTAAGCGCGTCCATCTTGTGCTATTTATAATTTAACAATGTCCATCTTAAGTGGACACTGCCGAAGCTCCCGAGACTGGGTTTAACAACATTAATACTCGCTAGATGGCCAGTCGACACTTTGTTCATTGCTAAATTCTGCCTGTAATTTCCCTTCCCGTCTCGCTTTGGCCAGGTCCGCGGCAAACGGGCGGCCACTCCGATCACAAGTTTACGACCTGCTTAGCTTTAATCACCCATCGCGTGTCGCCGTTAGACCTAACCAAGGCACTACTTGATCCGGCGCGTTGACATTCCACCATTAGCGAACAATAATCCTACCGAGGTCTCGACGGAAATTTTCCTGAGCAACTTTTTCTTTTTTTTTTTCCCCGCGCGCGCGCTCCGTCTTCAGGGGATGTAACGCTGGGCGGTAGTTGAGATTTGAACTGTCATAAAATATGGAATCAGCTTCCCAACGACACAAATTCACGGGCATTAATATTTGGCTTCCATTATAGCCATCGGCCGTTTTGGTGGAGTTCGCTTCACGCGATGAATATTTCAATTGTGAAGAGGAAAAAAAATGGATTGTCTAGGGCGCAAGCAAAGACAGAAAGTGTCAAAACGTTTCAATCATTCTCAAAGATTAATCACTTTCAATCATTTTTTTTTTAATTAATCCGCAACAGGTAAATCATTTTCGGGGATTTTAATTTTTTTTAAACCTGGAAAAAAAGGTTAAAAAAATTGTTAGAATTTTTTTTTTACATTAATTGTTTCAATATTCTTTTTGTCCA